CTGCCTGTCTTTCCCTCTCCGCTTTTTTTTTGCTGGTGCTGTGTGATTGTGTGGCGCCTTTCCGCTGCCGCGGCACACGGGGCGGGCATCAGTGCGAGAAGTTCACGCTTTCACCTTCACAGCCAGAGTTTTTTTTTTTTTTTTTAAATCCTACCAACAGAATGAGCGAAAACGAAACGTGCGATGCGCTCCTCTCCCAGTACGAGTTGCTGAGGGGGAAGATGGCCACGCAGCACTGCGATGGCGACCACGACGGAGATAAGGATGAGCACAGCCATGGAGACTGTGGTGGCTCCAATGGACCGTACACGGTGGGGCTGCATGTGGTGGCCATCTTCGTCGTGCTTTTGTCGTCGTTTCTGGGGACGGTTATCCCACTTGCCGGGAAGCATGTGCCGTGTCTGCGGATGAACCCATTCTTGTTTGTTCTCGGCAAGTGTGCGGCGACTGGCGTGGTGCTGGCCGTGTCAACGATCCACATGATCCACCCCGCTGCTGAGTTGCTTGGGGAAGACTGCGTTCCGGACTCGTGGAAGAAGTCATACGACGCGTACGCGTTTCTTTTTGCGATGATTGCAGCCATATTGATGCACGCGCTTGAGACGCAGTTGGTGGCGATGTTTGCGAGCGACGAGTCTCCGTCCTCTCCTTCCGGGGGGAACGGGGAAAAGGGGGACGCGAACGGGGATGAGGAGCGTGCTGACGGTGCACCCAGCGGTGATATCTACCAGCACCATCACAGCCACGTGCTCGCTTCCGTGGAAGGCGGGAGGGCACATCGGCTTCTCTCAGCCCTGTTCATGGAATTCGGTGTGACGCTGCACAGTGTGTTCATTGGACTGACGGTTGGCATCACGAGCGACGCGGAGACGAAGGCGCTTCTTGTGGCGCTGGTATTTCATCAGATGTTCGAGGGTCTTGCGCTGGGCTCGCGGCTGGCGGACGCGTCCATGCGCATTTCACTGGAGTTGCTGCTTGCGCTGATCTTCTCCATCTCTGCCCCATTGGGCACCGCGGTCGGTGTGGGAGCTGTCGTGGGGTCGAAGATATCGCTAACTGGAGCGACGTTCATCATCATGCAGGCGATCTTTGATGCTGTGTGTGGCGGCATCCTGCTGTACCTTGCCTTTGTTCTCATGCTGAACGACTTTCCGACGGACCTGCGGAAGCACGCGGGTGTGGGTGCGGCGCATCGTGGCTGGAAGCGCCTTGCGATGTTTGTGGCACTGTGGGCAGGCGCCGGGATTATGGCGGGGATCGGGAAGTGGCTGTGAGTAGCGGAGAGGAAGAAGAAAGAGGAGATCCTTCTTTTTGGTAAAATCATAATAACTTTGTGTGTGTGAGTGTGTGTTTGTAAGGGATATGCAGGCGTTGTGTTTTCCGCGCGTCTTGAATAAAAGGTATAAAGAGTTGTGCGTGTGTGTGTGTGTCACTGTTTTTGTGCTTGCACCGAGTGCTATTTTTTAGGTGCGGCGCGCTTTTTTGTTTTTGAGGGGAAGGGGTGATGCGCGCTGGGTTGTGCTGCCAGACGGCCGACAGAGCTGGGCGATGGCCACAGCCTACGCGCTGCAGCACGCAGAGAGGATGGGGCTGGCACCGAGGCTGCCTTCTCCGCCAGGAATGGTGTGTCACGCAGAGGACACGGTGAGGGTGTGAGTGTGTGCATGAGTGGGTGAATTGGCGGCAAACGTGCCTTGCCGCGGCATGAGCGGGGCACCGGGACGCTCTCCTGTGACTGTAGTGGACCACCATTTCCTGTTTTTGTTTTGTTTAATATATATATATATATTTATTTTTGTTCTTTTCTCCATAAACGTGTTTGGTGACGGGGAGGAGCCTGAGCCGGGAGCATCTGTTCGGGCCGCGGTGTTGTTCTTCGCTGTTCAGCCGCCGCCTCACCCCCGCCTGCGCAAACAACCCCTTGTACGCACGCTGCCTGTCTTTCCCTCTCCGCTTTTTTTTTGCTGGTGCTGTGTGATTGTGTGGCGCCTTTCCGCTGCCGCGGCACACGGGGCGGGCATCAGTGCGAGAAGTTCACGCTTTCACCTTCACAGCCAGAGTTTTTTTTTTTTTTTTTAAATCCTACCAACAGAATGAGCGAAAACGAAACGTGCGATGCGCTCCTCTCCCAGTACGAGTTGCTGAGGGGGAAGATGGCCACGCAGCACTGCGATGGCGACCACGACGGAGATAAGGATGAGCACAGCCATGGAGACTGTGGTGGCTCCAATGGACCGTACACGGTGGGGCTGCATGTGGTGGCCATCTTCGTCGTGCTTTTGTCGTCGTTTCTGGGGACGGTTATCCCACTTGCCGGGAAGCATGTGCCGTGTCTGCGGGATGAACCCATTCTTGTTTGTTCTCGGCAAGTGTGCGGCGACTGGCGTGGTGCTGGCCGTGTCAACGATCCACATGATCCACCCCGCTGCTGAGTTGCTTGAGGAAGACTGCGTTCCGGACTCGTGGAAGGAGTCATACGACGCGTACGCGTTTCTTTTTGCGATGATTGCAGCCATATTGATGCACGCGCTTGAGACGCAGTTGGTGGCGATGTTTGCGAGCGACGAGTCTCCGTCCTCTCCTTCCGGGGGGAACGGGGAAAAGGGGGACGCGAACGGGGATGAGGAGCGTGCTGACGGTGCACCCAGCGGTGATATCTACCAGCACCATCACAGCCACGTGCTCGCTTCCGTGGAAGGCGGGAGGGCACATCGGCTTCTCTCAGCCCTGTTCATGGAATTCGGTGTGACGCTGCACAGTGTGTTCATTGGACTGACGGTTGGCATCACGAGCGACGCGGAGACGAAGGCGCTCCTTGTGGCGCTGGTATTTCATCAGATGTTCGAGGGTCTTGCGCTGGGCTCGCGGCTGGCGGACGCGTCCATGCGCATTTCACTGGAGTTGCTGCTTGCGCTGATCTTCTCCATCTCTGCCCCATTGGGCACCGCGGTCGGTGTGGGAGCTGTCGTGGGGTCGAAGATATCGCTAACTGGAGTGACGTTCATCATCATGCAGGCGATCTTTGATGCTGTGTGTGGCGGCATCCTGCTGTACCTTGCCTTTGTTCTCATGCTGAACGACTTTCCAACGGACCTGCGGAAGCACGCGGGTGTGGGTGCGGCGCATCGTGGCTGGAAGCGCCTTGCGATGTTTGTGGCACTGTGGGCAGGCGCCGGGATTATGGCGGGGATCGGGAAGTGGCTGTGAGTAGCGGAGAGGAAGAAAAAGGAGGAGATCCTTCTTTTTGGTAAAATCATAATAACTTTGTGTGTGTGAGTGTGTGTTTGTAAGGGATATGCAGGCGTTGTGTTTTCCGCGCGTCTTGAATAAAAGGTATAAAGAGTTGTGCGTGTGTGTGTGTGTCACTGTTTTTGTGCTTGCACCGAGTGCTATTTTTTAGGTGCGGCGCGCTTTTTTGTTTTTGAGGGGAAGGGGTGACGCGCGCTGGGTTGTGCTGCCAGACGGCCGACAGAGCTGGGCGATGGCCACAGCCCACGCGCTGCAGCACGCGGAGAGGATGGGGCTGGCACCGAGGCTGCCTTCTCCGCCAGGAATGGTGTGTCACGCAGAGGACACGGTGAGGGTGTGAGTGTGTGCATGCGTGGGTGAATTGACGGCAAACGTGCCTCGCCGCGGCATGAGCGGGGCACCGGGACGCTCTCCTGTGACTGTAGTGGACCACCATTTCCTGTTTTTGTTTTGTTATATGTATATATATGTATATTTGTTCTTTTCCCCATAAACGTGCTTGGTGACGGGGAGGAGCCTGGGCCGGGAGCATCTGTTCGGGCCGCGGTGTTGTTCTTCGCTGTTCAGCCGCCGCCTCACCCCCGCCTGCGCAAACAACCCCTTGTACGCACGCTGCCTGTCTTTCTCTCTCCGCTCTTTTTTTGCTGGTGCTGTGTGATTGTGTGGCGCCTTTCCGCTGCCGCGGCACACGGGGCGGGCATCAGTGCGAGAAGTTCACGCTTTCACCTTCACAGCCAGAGTTTTTTTTTTTTTTTTTAAATCCTACCAACAGAATGAGCGAAAACGAAACGTGCGATGCGCTCCTCTCCCAGTACGAGTTGCTGAGGGGGAAGATGGCCACGCAGCACTGCGATGGCGACCACGACGGAGATAAGGATGAGCACAGCCATGGAGACTGTGGTGGCTCCAATGGACCGTACACGGTGGGGCTGCATGTGGTGGCCATCTTCGTCGTGCTTTTGTCGTCGTTTCTGGGGACGGTTATCCCACTTGCCGGGAAGCATGTGCCGTGTCTGCGGATGAACCCATTCTTGTTTGTTCTCGGCAAGTGTGCGGCGACTGGCGTGGTGCTGGCCGTGTCAACGATCCACATGAAGTTCCCCGCGTTGTATGCTTGTAGTTTGACTTTTTCATTTGTTTTGTGTTACTTGATTTATTTTTGGTGGTTTTGTTGTTTTTCTGCTGCCTTTAACGTAAATGGAATAGGAATTGCTGTTTTTCATACTTTTGCGCTAATGGTGCCGTTTCCCTGTGGTTTATTTTGTTAGCCACATTTTTTTTTTTAGTGTTTCTTGAGTTTCTCGTAGGGGGTAGTATGAATGTTGTGTCGTTGGTGGGTGACGCGGATGTTCCTCGTGAGGAGCCGCCGGTGGTTTTGGAGGTTGACGCCGACGGTGCTAGGGTGCGTGACGCGATGTACGTTTTTCTCAGCCGCCTCGTAGACCCTTCCTTGCGTTCCGCCGCATCACCACCTACAGATCTGCGCTACATTGTACGGCAGCTTGAGCGTATCAGCACATGTGTGGACTGGTCGACGTGCGTCGTGCGGTGGGGTGACTTTAGTCACTTTGACGAGGACGCAAGCACGGCGATCGAGTTTGACTATCAACGGTTTGCGCCTTTTATAGACTTTGCGTTGCATCAGGTGCTTTCCCAGTACTACGCGGAGGATTATGCTAACCGCGGCAAGTGCAGTCCCAGCTTGGTTTTTTCATGCGTGCCTCGCTGTCTTGGTATTCGTGCGGTGCGTGCGTCTATGGTAGGACAGCTGTGCTCAATCAAAGGCGTTGTGACGCGAACTTCGCAGGTGAGACCGGAGCTGATTGTTGGCGTTTTTCGCTGCAATGACTGTGGGACGGAAAGTCAGCCCGTTCTGCAGCCATTTCATTACACGGAGCCACCGGCCTGCCGTGACCCGCAGTGTGAAAATAAGAGTCGCTTTCAATTGGTTCCGACTCATCCGCAGACGCGGTTCGGTGACTGGCAGAAGATACGGCTTCAGGAGGATACAAACAACATTCCGGCGGGGTGTGTGCCACGTACCATGGAGCTCATTGCTCGTAACGATGGGGTGGAGGTGGCAAAGCCAGGGGACCGTATCATTGCAGTTGGCTGCCCTATCGTCGTTCCCGAAGTGGCGAAATTGCTTGGCCAGGCTCATCGGCGAGAGGTGCAACGTGAAATGTCAGGAGTCCAGCGTGCGCAGCAGGAAGCACAGCAGGAAATGGAGGGTGCCACGGGACTACGGGCACTTGGTGTGCGGGAGCTCAAATACCGCATGTGTTTTCTGGCAACAACGATCACCGACGCGAATGGCGATGATCGAAAGATGACAGAGGCGGTAAAAGATTCCACGGACGGGGCGGCTGAGCGGGAATATGTCCGTCTCACCCCTGCAGAACTAGAAAAGGTGCGGTTGATGCGTGGCCATGACAATTTGCTCAAGGCGCTCACCGACTGTGTGGCCCCAAATATTTTCAAGCACGATGTTGTGAAGTTGGGTCTTCTGCTTCAGATGGTTGGCGGTGTTTCAAAGAACACGTTGGAACAGATTGGGTTGCGTGGGGACATTAACGTCTGTATTGTTGGTGATCCATCAACGGCCAAGTCGCAGTTTTTGAAGTGGGTGGCGAGCAACGTGTCTCGTGGTGTCTACACCAGCGGAAAGGCTTCTACCGCGAGTGGTCTCACGGCGACTGTGACACGGGACGCTGACACGGGGGACCGCACTATTGAGGCGGGTGCCCTCATGCTGAGTGATCGCGGTGTCTGCTGCATTGATGAGTTTGACAAGATGGACGTAAAGGACCAGGTGGCGATCCATGAAGCAATGGAGCAGCAAACCATCTCTATTGCAAAGGCGGGGATTAAAGCGACGCTAAGCGCTCGGACTTCACTCCTCGCGGCGATGAATCCCATTGGTGGGAAGTATGATCGCCGAAAGCCTCTGCAGAAAAATGTGGCCATGACAGCACCGATTATGTCTCGATTTGATCTCATGTTCGTCATTGTAGATGAGTCAAGCGATGACGCGGATTACGCAATTGCCGATCAGCTTCTAAGGCTTCATCGTTTTGGTGATCGTGCCGTTCGCCCACCGTTTTCGACGGAGGACTTCCAGCTGTATCTTCGTTACACGCGCTCTCTCACACCACGTTTGAAGGAAGAGTCTGTGCAACTCATCGTTGCGGCATATAGGGACATGCGTCTGCAGGATTCTTTGTCAAACCGCAGCAAAGTGTACCGCGTCACAACACGTCTTTTGGAGAGTATCATTCGTCTTTCCGAGGCAGTGGCGAAGCTCTACATGAGTGAGGATGTGAAGCCAGCCCATGTGGAGGTGGCGTTGGAACTCATGCGTCAATCCCTTTCGACACTTGACATGACTGAGGTGGAGCTTGTCGGCATTTCAGACCCTTTTGAAGTTGCATCCGAAGGCATTAAAGCGGAGCCAGTGGATCAACAGCAACGACAGCAGGAGCAGCAACAGCAGCAAGACGTGCCACAGGCAACAGCGGGTGAGCAGTCAATGACGGCCAGGCGGAAAAGGGGAAAGACGGCGACCGTTGCATCCGCACCAGCACCTGCCTCTCGAAAGACGGTTATCAGTGCTGATCATTACTTTGGTATTGTTAACCGCATCGTTGCAAGACTGCAATCACTAGGGGAATCCAATCCACCATCCCGTGCGGAGCTGGTGACGTGGTACATGGAGCAGGTGCGCTCCCTTAATAAATCACAGCTGGAGGTGGAGTTGCGTTACGTGAACCTCGTCATTCAAAAGATGCTGAAGGATGGAAATTTGCTGGAGGTGGAGGTGCACGAGGGGGAAGGAGAGAAGATGTTTATTGACCCCAACTACAACCCCGACGTCACAAAACAATAACGGCTCAATATATCTGAGAGAATATGTATTTTTCTCTCTCTTTTTCTGTGCGTGTGTATGTGTGTGTATACATGACGCATACTGCTTTCCATAGAAGTGCGTTATAGATGTTAACCACGGAGGGGTGAATGCAGCAAAAGGAAAAAAAGCAACAAAAGGAGTAGCGGTCTCAAGTGCGATGAAAAGGGACGCGGAAAGAGGGGGACTGTCCTTGCGTTATGTGCCAAAAAGAAAGAAACAAACAAAATGATTGTTAAATATGTTTTTTTTTTTAAGAGGAGGGTTTGTCAATGCAATGGCGTCTCTGTGTGTGTGTGTGTGTGGTGCCCTTTTTTCCACATATTATTTTTATTATACTTTTTTTTTTTTTTTTTTTAGCATTTAGCGACCGTATTCGGGATGATTTACTCTCAGAGAACTCAGGATGACTCGGAGGTTGTGGTGCCTGCGGCTGGCGAGACATTTGTAGCCGAGGACGGAACCGTTTCTGTTGTTCTCGCAGACACCGTTGATGCCGACTATGAGCCCACGCAGGATGAGATTGAGGACTTTGCCGAGTGGATGGGAATGCAGCTGCCAGAAGACAAGGAATTTTTATATATAGCACGTGAGGGGCTGAAGGCACCGTTGCCGAAGAACTGGAGGCCATGCCGCACAAACGAGGATGATATTTACTACTTCAACTTTAGGACGGGCGAAAGCACGTGGAATCACCCGATGGATGACTTTTTTCGCCAGAAGTTTCTCAAAATGAAGGAGGAAAAAAAGAGCTCGACAGTTGCCACGCCCGTGGTAAAAAAGCATGCTGCTCTTCCTACAACCACCACGGGCGGTGTTCCGACTCTGGGGAATAGCGGTGGCGGTGGTGGCCCGGTTTCCATCCTGAAGAAACCCCCGTCGGATCTGATTGGAGGCATGCCCGGCACCGCGACGCATGCTTTCGTCCCTGCATTGGGCGCCTCACGGCCAATGGTGGGCAGCAGCACGACTTCTGTACGAGACCGTGTGGCTGTCGATACCCTTAAACCGGGGACAACAGCCGTGACGAGTTTTCAGAGTGGAGGCGAACGGCGAATTGTTTCCGAGGCTGAAAAAAATCTCGAGGAGAAACTTCGCCTGGAACGTGAGGCGTCATTCAAGGCGGATGAGGAAAAGGCAGAGATTGCACAGGAGGCACGCCTGCAAGAGATGCTTCGTACCCACGCAGCGGAGGTTGAAAAGCTTCAAAAGGAGCTGGAGGCGAGGCGGGCGGCAATAGAGAGTCAAGCCGTGGTTGACGAGTGGGGCCCCGCTGGGAAGGAGCGGGAGGCGCTGGAGAAAAGGTGGAGGACGAGTATTGACCAGGCACTGAAGGACGAGGAGGAACTTCAGCGGCAGCTGTTGGAGTTGAGGGAGCGTCATGGGCAGCGCTTGTCCAGTGAGGTGGCGCGGGTGGAGGCCACCGTGAGGGAGCAGCACCAGCGGGAGGAGAAGCAGATGGAGGGAGAGAGCCTTGCCTCACTGAAGAGGTTAGAGGATGAAGTTTCTGCAGAGTTTCTGAAGAAAAAGGCCGAGTTGCAGCAAAAGTCTTTGGCAGACGTGCAGCGGCTGAAGGAGGCTGCGGAGAAGCATCACCGGGCGGAAGTGGCGGCGATGCGGGAGAACCATGCAGATCGAGAGAAGAAAGTCACGGAGAGTGAAAAAAAAATTGCTTCGATCCGTGCGAAGGAAAGGGAGTCTGTTGCCACCATTGAACTGAAATCAAAAAACGAGCAGGCGGCGTTTCGGGCATCGATGGAGGCAAAACTCGGCCGCATGCGCAAAGAGATGTGTGAGCTTGAGGGTGCTTTTCCGGTTACGCTGGGCAATGCATACACGCCGCCGGTGGATGATGCCCTGGATGCAGTGCGTCAACGTTGGCAAGAGGAGGAGCGAAAATGCATGCATACTCTTGCGGAGGAACGACGGAAGAAACTTGGCTCGATAGAGCGACCTCAGTCATTGTCTTCTTATTCCCCAACGACATCATCGACCTCTTCTGTTCCCACTACAGCTTCTTCTACCACAGTTTGTGCAGGCGAAGCTGGTGAGGAGCTCCGCGCCGCGAATGACGTGGTGTTGGCGGAGAAGGAAAAATCTCTGCAGGAGACGGAGAAACTTCTTCGCGCAATGCTCGAGGAAGAATTGCTGCACAAGGATGCTCCAGCGGAGGTGCAGATTGCGGAGGCATTGAAGCATGATCTCAATATATTTGTGCGATCAACGGAGTTGTGTCGGCAGCTTGAGAGAGAGGACCTTGAGCGAAGAGGACAGGCGGCACTAGCAGAGCACAAAAGGGCGAGGGAACTCTACGAAAAGAAAGTGGTAGAGCAACGGGCAAAGATGGAGGCGGAGTCTAGGGCAGAGATGGAGGAGATGATGCGGGAGGTGGAGCAGAGGGAGGTTGAGAATGCGCTGCAGGCTATGACAGTGGAGCGGGAGGTTGCAGAAAGGAAACTTCAAAAGCGCTACGAGGATGAACGTCGTCTGCTTCTTGCCGAGGTTGATCAAGAGGCTTCGGCGTACGAGCGGAAGCAGCGGGGTGACATTGTTGCACAAGAGGAAGCGAAGCTGAAGCAGAGGGAGGCTGAAATGCACGCCGCGGAGGCGACAGAGGCGCCGGCGGAGGTGAGGCAGTCGGGCCAGCAGCCGGCATCAGCACCAGCCACAAGTACGCTGGGGGTTTCGTTGGGATTTTTGTATCAGCGTTTGGAGTTTGTAGAAAAGACTTACGCCGAGAAGGAGGAAAAATTACAGGCGGAATTGAATTCCATCCATGCGGACATGAGGAGACTGAGGGGCACGTGCACTCCACAGCGGCTGAGACCACCGCCAGGGCAGGCAGACGGCAATTTGATGCCGGATGTTTGCTTTACACCCGCCTTAGCGTTTAACAAGAAGGAAACACAACATTCCTCACTCTTTGCCTCCGAGGCACTGCGTTTCTTGAGTGAACAGCAGAGAGAGTTGAGCGCGCGTCGGGGGGCTCTTTCCGCAGCCCGTGAAGAGTGGAAAAACAACTTTTTGAATGCTAGCACCTGCGCGCGTTCTTTTCTTCCGTCAAGTAAGCCTTTTCCTAAGCTCACAGAGGGAGATGCTTTGAACTCGAAGCTTTTCACACTCGTTGGCGTCTTGAGCGAGCGCCTCGAAGATCTCACTGGCTGCATTGCAAAAATACAGGCCACAACGGGGAGTGCAACGCCGCAGCGACATGAAGAGCAGCTCCGTCCCCATTCTGGCCGCCTTCATGCACGTGAAAAGATTGCGGTCAACAAGACCCATACAGGGAGCAACCAGAGGAAGGGAAGGATTCCACGTGAGCCACACTCGCACGGAAGCCCGGCAAGGCAACAAGACGCAGTTGGCCTATTGCAGAAATGGAGTCATGTTCTTCTTGAATTTGCGACCCCTTCGTTAGATCAGGATGAGCTCACTACCTCCATCCAACGCTTCGTGGTGGACCAATGACACCGAGCCCAAGTAGGAAAAATATAATTGGTGTGGGGGCAATTGTAATGCCATAATGTGTTGTTGCCAACGTGGTGATCTTTGCTTCATTTCCCTTTTCCTTATTTTTTCTGTGTCTGTGTGCGTGCGTCTGTGTATGACAGATGGTTTTGCGTGAGGGAACGAGGAGAGGGATCTGAGCGACATCTGTGGGTGGGTGGGGGGCCGACACACGAGGGGAGGATGAGGCTGGAAGGAACCTCAACATAAATCACATGAGATCTTTCCCTTACCTTTTTTTTTTTTTTTCTTGCGTGCCTGCTTTCTTTTCTTTCTGGAGTGTGTTATTGGGAATGTTGGCAGCGAGGGGAGCCGTCGCGAAGGAGGGCGACACCGTCCTTCTCGTCCGCGGTCATCTCAACCTTACGCCGCTCACGCTTCGGCCCGGGGATCTGTTGCACTGCAAGGAGGGGAAATTTCGACACGATGACATCATTGGCCGACCTCTTGGGACTTGGGTCACGGGGCAGAGCAACATCAAGGGCGACACTTCGAGGCCTCCCCGTCTTCTCGTTCTGCAAAATAGCGCGGACTTGTGGACACAGGCGGTGCCCCACCGCACACAGATTATTTACGACACTGACATTGCCGTTATTATCTTCAACTTGCGGCTCAGCCCGGGGTGTCGCGTCGCCGAGGCGGGCACCGGAAGTGGATCGCTGACGCATTCTATTGCCAGGACAGTCGCTCCCAATGGCATGGTTTACACTTTTGATTTCCACAAGGGTCGTTGTTTGGAGGCACGACAGGAGTTTCGACGCAATGGCTTACCGGCATCGCTCGTGACATGCAATTGGCGTGATGTCTGCAGCAAATCACTTGAGAGCGATGTTTCTGCTGGCGTGGAGGACGAAATTGGCGAGGGGACCGATCCCAAACACGGCTTTGGCCTTTCTCGACACCACGTGGATGCTGTCTTTTTGGATGTTCCTGCACCGTGGCTTGCCATCGAGAACGTCCTTCACATTCTCCGGCCAGGTGGCATGCTGTGCACGTTCTCTCCATGCATCGAGCAGTCGCAGCGGACAGCGCAACGTTTACGAGAGGAGCCCTTTGAGTTTATTGATATTCGAACCGTGGAGGCGCTGACAAAATACTTCAAGCCGTCCTTTAAGCGTGATCGCGAGGAAGATGGACGACCGTCCCGCCCCAAGCTGCGCCCTACATTGGTATCGAAGGGCCACAGCGCTTATCTCACCTTTGCACGGCGGCGACTTGAGCGCATTCCCGGACTGGACGATGAAGACGAAGAGAGAAACGACGTCAGCCCCCGAAGCGGTGAGGAAGAAAACGCCGCAAGCTGAATAGGCCTTGCCAGCGTGGTCCTGTGCGTGTGAGTGAGGAGAGGGGAGGTAAAATATCAAAATTCCCTCTTTGTTTTCCCCACAACGACAACCACAACAAACACATACTGTTCCATTTAACGAAGAAGAGAGAAGCAACAGCATTATCCTTCTTGTAAATACATGTTTATATATTTTTTTTTACTTGATGGATGCTTCACGTGTGGGTTTATGTTACGCATGATTGCCTGAACTTTTTTTTTTTTGATGTATTTGTTATTATTATTTTGCTTCTTTAGGCTAGGTAGGATGGACTTCAAAGGTCAATTGGCTTCGGCCTTGGTACTTAATGTTACACTGAAGCTACTGAGCTTCACAATGTCCACCCTCCTGACACGTCAGCTTGCACCCAACGAAAATGGCATCAATTTTTCAAATCAACTGTATTTCAATACTGTTCTTTTTCTTGCACGGGACTGTGTTCGAAGTGTGAACGCCCGGCATGACGTGCGGGAGAGAGCGGAGGATGGCCGGCTGGTTCTGCAGGTGATGAACTGCGCTATGGCCTCTCTTCCGTTGGGAGTTTTAGTCATGATAGTGCTGGAGCTGCTGCCTTTGTGCGGTATTCATGTGTTTCCCTCTTTGGCTGCGCTTTCTCGTGTGGGGGATGTCGCTACTGCACTGGGGGAAGTCAACAATCACACGGTAGGGTTTCCAGAGGTGCTTCTAGCATTGAGTGTCGGTGTTTTACTGATGGTAGAACCATGCATTGCCCTGGTTCTCTGCTTCGATTACGCACGGTTTATTATCACCTCCGAATTCTGGGCGTTGTTGGCACGCTTGATAACGTGTTTGATATTTGTGAGGTTGTGTGGTGGTCTGGGGGGTGATTTGTACACTGCGCGCCTGTGCTTTGCCACGGGGTCCCCTCACTTACGCCATTGCGACTATGAT